AAAAATTAAAAAATAAAAATTATTTATATAATTTACGTAGATAATTTTAATACCTTAAAAATATTTTATAAATTTATATTTTATTAATATTAGTATTTTTAATATTAATATTTATTAACTTAAAATCATCAATTAATTTTTTACATATAAAATATATGAAATTTATAAATATATTATATAAATATAGTTTTATATAATAATATTATTGTTATAGATTTGGATAAAGATTTAATGATTGTTTTTCCTTTCCAAATGATATCCATGCTAGTATTGGGAAGTTTGCAATCATCCAGAAGGTTATTGTTACTATTTTATTATATATCATTCGTACTACGAAGCCAATATATGGTTTATCTAGAAATAATTTTATTAAAAGTAGAATTTTAATTGCATAGTTTTTAAATTTTTAAAAAGTAAATTCAAAACAATCTCACTTACCGTACATATATAATATAAATTGACGATATTTCAAATTTAGATACGAGTACCATGAGAGAGGTTTCTTGTCTAGAAAAAAAATTAATCGGTTAATTACTTTTGAATAAAAATAAAATAACGAAATACATTTTCACTCAAACTAACATTTTATCCCTGTCAAATCATATGTGAAATACATGAAAGTGTCATGATTGATCGATAAATCCATATGCCAAATTCCTTTCATTACATTCGTTACATATTCCGTAAATTTCGGATGCGGGTCGTTCAAGTGTTTTGCTATTATCTCATTTTGTATTCTTTTACATAATTCTCTTGTTTCCGTTACCGTTTTTCTACAAATATTCATTCTAAAAGCATGGAAATAATTTAATTTATTCGTAAAACGATATATTTATCATATTAAACATACATACATAAAATTTCTAATGTTTTATTAATATATTTACCTGTCCGATATGCCCAATAAATATCCTATAACTTCCCAATAATGTTTAAAACCTAACATATATTTTTCAGTATTTGCCAGTCCCAATTTTTCTGGTACCAAAAAAACATATCCAATGAAACCGAATTGCGTAATTGCCATATCCTTTTGATATATTCCATTAAGACCTTTCTCAATTCTTTTTTTACTAGCACTAGCATGCCTCCATCGGATGGCATTTATTACCTTGAACCACCTTGAATATTAATAAATAATAAATAATATATTAATAAATAATTATATAATATATATATAATTATATAATAAATAACTAATAAATTCCATAGAATATATATTTTATCTAACTATTCTATGGAATAATAACTATTCTATTTAAATAAATTAATATTTATTTAACTCACAACGAATCTGAGCTTAGTATTTCCGTTTTTTGAAGTGCGTACATATGTAACATTGTTTGGGCGTATCGTTTGTAAGATAAAGGTACCGTAATATTATTTTTCGTACTTACGAGAATCTGAAATGTGAAATTTGATAAAATTAAATTTAATCATTATATCTGTTTCAATTTTATATAAAGATTATAAAGATATAATCGAATATAAAGATTTTGATAAATTCTATTAGTTTGTTTGCTTATATTGACGAACATTCGAAAAAGTTTTTATATCATCTAATTAAAATGATAAAACGTTCATAATATACGAAAAATATATTAAAACTATATATATAAATATAATTTTTAGAATTTTAAAAACTTTTTGAAAAACTTTCTCTTTATATACTTTATATACTTTCTCTCTATTATTTATAAAATTTTTGATATATAATAAAAGAATATGATTTATAAATAATCATTCTTGTTATTTCTTGGAAATGTTTGAGAAGAAATCAACCGATATTCAAAATATATTACCTCCAATATATCTGGGACTGCCAATATCGCTATTAAACCTGATAGATTTGCACCGACTATTGCTAGTAAATAATCCATACAGAATTGTTGACCTCTAAAATTGAAATTTTCATTCATTAATTTTATACTCGATTATATTATTTATATCATTTTTTTTTGAACTCACTTTTTGAATAAATTTTCATCGTACCACTCAGGTAGATTGTCTGGTGCCACTTTCACAAAATTAGAATCAATTTCTTCTTTACAATTTAAAAGCAGTTGAAAATGTTCGTCTACTGTTG